CCCCCCCCCCCCCCCCCCCGCCCCCCATCACTTTTCTAATGGTCCGTCCCTAATAGTTATTCATTCTCCTTGGTACGAATTTCTCTCAGGCCTACCTAGAGTCCATGGGTTTGTAATTCCCCCCCCCCCCTTTATTCCTGTTACCTGTTCTGAGAGCTTCCAGATGGCCTTTCAGTAAATTATGGGTTGAGAAGCAGCGATAGACTTTGCGAAAGGTGAACTAAACGAAAGCCTCAGTCATACCTATAGCCGTCAATGCTAATTGACTTAAAGACGGTTGATCCAGTTCAGTTGAATGTTCTCTAATATTATAAATGACACTGAAACCTCTGTTGCATGCTATTGGAGTTACTACATTTGACACCGGATGTAAGAGAAACGCGTAAAGATAGAAATGAATGCACTAAACGATGTTTCACGTGTTCTGACTTTCTTCTTCAAAGTTGCGGTATCAATCATGCACATTGCCCCAAGAAGGAAAAAGTCATCATGAATAATTTAGTGCAATCTGGATTGAGAATACTGAGAATCTGAAAAGGTTTTGCAGGACATTTGGGTGATGCAGTTGTTCTGGTCTGTATCTGAGTATTTTACTGAGTTCTAGAGCGAAAAAAAATAAAAGCGATGCAGATGAAAAGCAATAACTAAGAAACATATTAGTAAAAAGGATGCAGTGAAGGCAAACGCATTCAGTAACAACGACATCATTCAACAAGGAAACTGTTTTATTCATGTTGGCCAAAACATTAGATAAGTATAAGATTAGTAATTCATAGAATTTTAGTTATTCTTAGAATCAATATAAGTTTATTATAAATGAAGACAAAACCGTTTTCTTGAAGCCCTCTGTGCTAGAGTTCCTCTGTTTTAATTTTTAATATAATAATAATATATATATTTTTTCACATTCAGTGTGAATCTGTTGAGGAAAGCGGCCAGGAATGTATGTGTTATATTTTCGGCCTCGTACGAGACACTGACGTAATAATTGGCCTATAAAAAATTAAATAGTCGTCCTCATGGAACGATAAACTTTTAATAGTAGTGTAACTTACTGCAATGTTCCTTAGGAAAGTCTTCATTTGCTCTCTAGTTGACGTGCCGATCTAAATAAATTTATCACACAGCAAAAGAGAGTCTATTTTTTCGTCTTAGTTTAAGGCTTAAGAGGAAAGCTGTAAAGAACATCATCTTGCCATTATAGTTTTGACAGGTACCAATGATTGATGAAATCGACTCGGAGAAAATTATCAGACGCGAGAAAATGATGGAGAATGACGAAAGCACTGTTTTAGTTTTAAATCAAATTTTTGCGTTCGAATATCACAATTCTTGCAGCAACGGATCAATCAAAATAGTCAGGGAGCGGGAATGAAATTAAAGGTTGCTGTATCTCTGATATTGTCCGTCCTCACAATCAAATCATTCCCCATTAGTGAATTTTCTTGTTATGAAGTATGATATTCTAGCACAATTAACTGTCCTTATTCTAGGGCTAAATTAGGTTAACAGCCGACATTAAAAGAGGAGGGCGCGATTGCAATCACCTGCTGGGTTTTCAAATTCAAAATGAAA